CTGGGGAGGAGGGTAGAGAAAACAGTGCAACAATGAATGAATGAAAACCCAAAATCTCTGTAAATGTTCATTAAAATGAATAAAATTTAATAATAATTTAAAAAAAAGAGAGAGACAGTTAGGGTCCCCCTACAGAGGGAGTTTTACTACGTGTGAAATACTTCCTTCCTGAGCTAAAGCATTAGGTTGACAATAGAGAGAAATTCGGCTTCATTTACAAGGGAATTCTTTTATTATTTGCGCCCCCGATTATCAATCAATACACAGAGAGACGTGGCTTGAGGGGCTTCAGTGGGGAACTGCTGGCCCCCTGTCTTTACTTACGCTCTGTTTTATCTCATTCTTGACTGTCTGTCTCATTATTAATAATTATAAACATACTTTGCTCTCAGTCTGCAACACACAGCAGTGGGTTCAAGTGTGTCAGGTACAACGAGGATGGCCCAGGATGGGACCGGGCTCAGCTCGGTTGTTCAAAAGGTCGCTAGGGGGTCATACTCAACTCTACAACGCCCAGAAACAACAACCAGACTTAGGCGAGGCGTCCACTGCTCTCCGTCTTCTTCCATCGGGGATTCTTCTGGAAATAATCACGTGCAGTTATGTCCAGCTTCTCCACTCGGTTGGTTAATTCGTTGTAATGACCACACGCGACTCAGAGGCTACATTCACCGTCATGGGATTTATTAGGGAGGTCACAGGGTGGCCACACAGCATCAGGACCAACTTTAACAGGATTTAAAACAACAACAAAACTTCCCTGAAAGTAACGGGATACAGCAGGCGTGTAAACTGATCAGTGTGGACAGCTATCAGGATTAACCCTTGGAGTAAAGATAATCGTTGCATCTTCAAGGAAGACCTGCTGTTGGAACCTCCCTGCTGTCTTGGATGGTTCAGACCACCGGGTCTCTGTTCTCAGTCTCTCCGCTGCTAACTGGCCCCGCTCAAAATCAATACAGGGGTCAGGTCTGCTCTCTGGCGCTGGCCTCTCAGCTGTCAGGAGTTCCACAGCCAAATATCTCCGCTCCCAACATAGCACGGACCTCAACCATCTGGACTGCCCGAGGGGGGCCAGCCATTCTGTTCCACCCGGAAAAACCACCCAGCTCACTGCAAGCCCTGCCCTTCTCTGCCACCAACCCTTCCACCCTCTGTTCACTCCTCTAACTGGCCGAGGACAGCAGCCTCACAACCTCTTAGTGCCCAAGTGAGTCACCCCTTCTACCAGTCTAGCCCTTGGCCAGCCACCACTCTGCTATCCAGAAAATGCCCCGGAACCACCGTTCTCCAGCCACGGATTATGTCCTGATTCTCCTCAGCCGCAAAGCAGGGCTTCCCTCTCCAGACCAGAGTCCAATCAAACCTCAGTTACCCGTGAGACGCTGATCAACTCAGATCTTGTCAACGAGGTTAGGTCAGATGGAAGCATCCGACCGTGAGGTTGTCTACTGCTGACCCAGGAAATGTCAACTAATTAGAGGAATTCTCTGAGAAAATAAGAACACCTCACTTTGAAGGGGGTGGGGAACCCCACCTGGGTGCCAACCCAAGAGTGCTGCTTCCAAACTCTGGGGCAGATGGAGCTCTGCTCAAATCCTCCACACAATTCTTCAAAAACATAAAAAGTTAAAGGAATGGTTACAAAAATTCATCATGGATTTACAATCTTCTCAGGGAGACAAGACACAGGCATTTAAACACCTTGTTTCTTATGGAGTTAAGTACCATTTAAAAAGAGACCCTGCTCCCCAAATCCGTAAGTAGTGCAATTATCAAATGCGCTTGGCTGCTAGCCCTGGAGGTCGGAGGTTCTGGACCACCCAGACGTGTCCAGAGAACCCTGGTGCACGGTTCTGAAAAGCCAGCATGGGAGCCACAGGGGGCTGACATCAACTCTGAGACACATGGGGTTGTTATGGGTAGGACACAGCCCAGTGGCCACTTAGGTTCTGACAAGGAATAGTGTCACGAGGTTTTAGGATTTTCTAACTCGCCCAACTTCTAACTAAAGCCCTTGCACCAATGATTCCAGGTCTATTTCAACGACTAGCTACTGCGTCATCCTTTGACCAGAGAAGCGATCCAAATTTCCAGTGAAGCAGAATCCACCCACCTTCACGCCCTCTAAAACGCAGCACTGATCAGTACTTCTAGTTTTATCCACCAAGGCCTCATGAGCCTAAGACACGGCCAGGGCCAAAGTCAGCACACCTGAGAGAATTCCTGTCATTGTTCCTGTTAATTGCTGTTTGAGTCAAGCACGACTCGGTAGTGATCCTATGAACAAAAGGCCTGAAGCCTTTCTGTAACTTTCTGTAACTATCGACATTTATCAAAGTTCATAGAGCTTTCAGAAGCAAGTTATTTAGGAAGTGGATGCCACTCCTTTTCACGGTCAGGAATAGACCTGACATACGTCTACTGGTCCACAGGCCCTGCTGCCTAACAAAGTCCTCAAACGGATGGCGGACATTCTGATTTTCCAACTGATCCTTCACACAGATGTAAACAAATGAGACAGACAGATGTGTCCTGATTCCCAGCAGTCCACCGCTGCCCTCGGCCCACCAACCACCTCCCGTGCGACTCTTCAATCCAAAATCGATGAAACTGCAACGTACAAGCAGCCGCGAGCCGGAGGGCGGCTCTGCTTCGAGATTCGGCGCCGATTCGAACAGAACTCGGACAGTGTGCATATGCTGAAGGCAAAATCAAGATTGTGTTTCGTAGCGATTGTGTCTTCGTAGCGACACATCTGTGTGTGTTAAAGGTGCCTCCCAGGCTTTCTCGGTTTCTTTGATTTCGTGTGGAGCCTTCAGGACAGGTGCTGGAGTCAGAACGATGAGGTAGAAGTGTGTGATCCCCCCCTGCTGCCCAGGGGACCTAGCTAAGCATGCCCTGAGGGTTTTGCGTGGTGCAAAATAAGATGCAGCTGACGGAGGGCACTGCCACGTTCACGGCATTCCCGGACACCAGCACGTTCACCGCATTCATGAGCACACCGCCCCGCTCCAATGCTCTGTCCCCGCCGGCGGGCTCACGCCTGGCGAGTGGCTGTCCCACCAGGACCACGTTCCCGTGGGCCAGCAGCCCTCCGACGACGCTGACCGACGCCTGCGTGGGTACCTGCAGAGTCCTGCTGTCCCCGGCGGCCTTCTGCTTGCTGTCGCTGCCCAGTGACGAGGCGTGGCTGGCTGCGGCCGGGTGGGGACCCCCGCCTTTCTCCCGGCTGTGTTTCCTCCTGTGCACGTACAAGGAGGATGTGTAGGCAAAGGTCTCCCCGCACTCGCTGCAGCCGTAGGGCATCTCCCCGGTGTGCGATCGCTGGTGGACCCGCAGCTTCGGCTTCGTGTTGAAGGCCTTGCCACAGTCACCGCACCTGAAGGGTTTCTCTCCCGTGTGGCTCTTCTGGTGGCTGATGAGGCCCGACTTCTGGGAATAGGGCTTCCCACAGACGCTGCACACGAAGGGGCTCTGGCCCGTGTGAAACCGTCGGTGGCCCACGAGGCAGGCCTTCTGGCTGAAGCCCTTGCCACAGTCCCCACACACGTACGGCTTCTCGCCCGTGTGTGTGCGCTGGTGGATGACGAGGTTCCCCTTCTGGATGAAGCCCTTGCCACAGTCCCCGCACACGAAGGGCTTCTCGCCCGTGTGTGTGCGCTGGTGGATGACGAGGTCCGCCTTCTCGAAGAAGCTCTTCCCACAGTCGCCGCACACGTAGGGCTTCTGTCCTCGGTGTGTCTTCTGATGCTTGATGAGCCCCGACTCGTACAGGTAGGCTCTGCTGCACTCCGGGCAGCCGTAGGGCTTCTGCCCTCTGTGCGTGGTCCGGTAATGCTCGGTGAGCTTGAACTTCTTCGTGAAGGCCTTCCCGCACAGGCTGCAGCGGTGCGGCTTCTCGCCCGTGTGGACGATCTGGTGGTTGGTGAGAAATGACCTCTTGATGAAGGCTTTGCCGCACTGGCCGCAGGCGTGCGGCTTCTCCACGGGCTGCGGCTTCGGGTGCTGGGACTTGGAGCTGCTGGCCGTCCGGATGTCAGGGCGGCTCGCGTCCGGACACGGCTCGCGGTCAGCAAGGAGGAAGGGGTGGCCGTGCTCGCGGGGCCCAGCGGAGTCCGTCGTTACCTCGGTCCTGCTCTGGCCAACAGCCGGCGGGGTCAAAGCTGATTGTGTAGCTTCTCCGTGGGGGTCCTGTTCCCCGAGATCTCCCCTCGACAGAGAAGGACGTTGGCGGGGACGGGCTGAGCTTCCCAGGGGACGATCGTCCCAGCCCTGCGTCCTTCTGTCCACCCTGCTTGTCTTCTCCTCACATCCGAGCAGACGTCCATCAACTTCCCAGATGTCTAGGAAAGAGGACAGGGGAGCGTCCCATCATCTCAATGTCCACGTCAGGAAATACGGGACGAATCGCGAACAAATTATGCTGAGTGACAATCAGAAAACAAAAGGACAATCTGGTACCGAACCTGGGCAGGAGGACACCCGAACTGGACGATCCCTCCTGGATGACTGGCCCTTTGCGTGACCCCTTCCTGTGCCCACTAAGACCACGCCGACGTGGAAGACCTCCCCAGAGACATGACCAGCATTGATGTGCCTCCCAACTGCCCCTCTTTGAACTGCCAAGAAGACACCCTTCTCAGGGGTTTTCGGCCACTTGCCATCGTTGGCCTTCTAACCATCACCAGAGCTATTTAAGAAGCAGTTTCATGCATTTCTCAACCACACCATCAGTGAACTCTGCCTGATGAAGTACGCACCGCTCCCTCCAAATGAGACAGCCTAACATACGTGTCTCCCTTAAATCCCACTACGACCCCCCCATCCAGCAAAAAGCAGCAGAAGACCTCGTCACCCCCTACCACCCCAAAGGAGGGAATGTGAGGCTAAAAATCGAAACCGAAGTTGAAGCTCAACTCAGAAATCCCTACGTTGAATCAGGGTGAAGTCTCTCTCAGGGAGGAGTGA